AATATCTTTATTTAAAATAATAATTTTACCCGGATATTCCCATCGCTATTAGTGATGGGAATCATCAAGTATTCTGACACAAGACCATTAAGTTTGAAAATAGAGGATACGTATGAAGCAGCATAAAAGGTTTAAACACGTCCAAACTCCAAAGAACTTATTGATCAGGGTAAAAGTTCATCAAGCGTCAATACTAAGTTTGTGCTTGCTAATTGAGAGAGTTTGTCAAAGTGCTCTTTTCTAAGTACAAGCAAAGAGAGCACTTAAATACTTAACTTTTATAGATTATATAGTTTTAATGGATGAATATACAAAAGAAGCGACACATCAAAGAAAAAAAAACGTTGATAATGCTCGAGTTTAAGCTAAATATTTAAACTTAGGTTTTTAGACTTAAAGAGAGAGAGAGTAAATATTATCAGACTGTAAAATACAAGATGTGCAGTGAGTATTAAATAAAGGGTATAAACATGAGATTTGAAAGCAGTTTGAGCAAAAAGTGTGTATGATAATAAAAATGTATGAAACCGTGTTGGATAAAATGATGTGTTTTTATGAAAAGAGACGAAAGAAAAATAAAAGTACCTAAAATTATAGCTTTTAAGTGATTGTGTGAAAACTATAGTTTGGATAGCATCTGGAATGTTGGGTTCAGATTAGTTTGTAGCAACCGTCTAAGAGCACGACAAGTGATAATAGATAATCTATTATTATAGACTGTGATTGTTTACCCACAAGTTTGAAAGAAGCAAGGAAAGTAGATATCGTTGAGCAAATAAAATCATAAAATAAAGGAGGAAACATCATATTATATGGAATCAAGAAGGAAAAACGAAAAGAGGTTATTTCTCTGTGGCGATCAAGAAGTATACTACAGATATGATGATAATGGGATGTATAAAGCGAATACATGTAAAATATATGCATGCAAACCGTGTTCCTAATTAATATCTTATAAAGCTCACTCAGCAGTAATATCGCATAGTGCATATTTTGCTTTATACAAATGTTTATAAAATCTCCAATTAAAAAGATAAATTTTTAATTTAAAACATCTGGGTGTGCTTAACAGAATAATATGCGATGACTAAACAAAATTTGTCTATATTTAATAGTGTGTAGCCTTAATATATTATATTAAGCGGTACGCGGACGAAAACAATAATTCAGCCGACCAGAGCACATTAATAGTGATTTTGACATAATATATTATATTATATTTAATCATTTATACCATGATGACGGTAATGTATGTGTAAGTAAAATTGGCACTAAATATGGTAAAAACTGATCGCCGGCGATGGTAGCTTAGCCGGCGGTCGTTAATCATAAATCCATTTGGCCCCTTGGCCGAACGCCATTGCGTCCCGTCAATTGTTTGGCGAAGATCTCAAGCAAGGTACTCCATAGACCGCGTTTATCTTACACTAGCCCGGTCAAGAGTACTATACCTATATATATACCATGATCAAAACACTATATTTGAGTCGTTGTGAACACTATATACCGAGTGTTACTTCTTTTGCAAAGATCAAAATAATATGTCGTTTCGTAAACCGAGTACCTACTTGTTTTTTTTTTTTTTGGGTCGGTGGGGGGACGTTCAAAGGCAGAGTGCGACGTCGGGTTCAAAAAGTTTTCGGCATACTCACGGGAAGTGTCTCGTTTGAATAGTGTTTATGGAGCCGACGCCCTCGAGCGATAAAGATGCGAAATAAAACTAAATGTTTTTAGTGACGGTTTATGTAGGGGCGGAGGGAGGACGGGGGGAGGGGGGGGGTGTGAGAGGTAATAAAACGATTGATGCTGTAAAATGTTGAAAACTTTGGTTTTTCGGTATTTGGATATAATGTAGTTCTGCGAAAAAAAAAACTTCGGTAAACGACCAGAACTCTCGGCTTGTCTCCGGCAATTTATCTGAAGTGCAAACAGCCCGAGTCACAGTTCGCCGGTATTGTTTTTATGGCCTTTAATCGGAAACGTAAAACGCGTCTCGTTCCCCGGCAAATATCCGACACGACAGAGTACATAAGTGTTTATATTATCACACACACACTCAAAAAGAAAACGAAACACAAAACTTACAACGACGAATCCTGTGACCATAAATCCTTGCACTACGTTGTCATAACCGCCGTCGACGGTTACTTTGGGCAATAATTATCAATTTGGAACTTTCATATAGTTTTCATTCGGAGAAAAATAATAATATGTTTGATTGACTAATGAAACCTTATAAAAAAAAAAACCTCCATCAATATGTTATCGTTTTGTTTTTATCGACTGCGAGTTTTTACAATTTTTACTGTCGCCAGTAATTCTTCCGATAAAAAAGTTTCAGATTGTTATTGCTGTGTGTACATAAATGTTGGATTGATTAAAAAGTTAATACTTTATCGCAGTTGTTTGTGTGTGTTTTAGTATATATTGTTCATTATACATCACAAGTTATACCAAACACACACACGTTTATGGACAACGTCAATATTTTCTTTAGTTTGTTTAATTCGTCAACTCATCAGTTAAACCGCTTTGTGACTAGATGAAAAGCTAATAAAAAGTCTTAATAGGATCATTACTCGAGAAAACTTTTGAATATTTGCGCGGGTTCCTTAGCGAAACTTCGGTGTAAGCAAACAGCAGCAAAATAAGTACACATAATATTATATAGGAACAATGTTAGACGACTTTGAAACTTGGGGAGATACCATAACATCGATCATGCGTCATAAGTTTAAACAGTATAGCGTTATTACAGTTCCAGGTATTAATAATTATGTATACCGCTTAGTACAACCATGTATAGGTACGTGGGCGGCGTGTATTGTAATATTTTCCATTTCGATTATTGCATATATTTAAAATAAAAACGCCCTCTAATTACAAGGTTTTGCACTTAAAATAATTGTTCCACCGTTGTACGTGGCTAATGCATTTTGTGTATTGCGGACTTTACAACCCTTTTGTGTAAATACTTACTGAAATGCATTTAAGCCCTTTACGGTTTTTACTTGGCTGTATTTGTACTTGGGCAAATAACCGGAATTGCCGTATCCTACACTATGATTATGGTTATGTTGTGCGCGTTCAGCGATTCGATTTTCACAATTCTCACTTATAAGTAATTCGCGCTTTTCAGAATTTCTATACTTTAGGTGATCGCATATTATATATATATATATATATATATATATATATAACGGCTTTTTCAGAGAATTTAATTAATTTAAACAAATACTATGGCCTGAGATAAGTCAAAATACAGAGTACAACTACTTCTGTATTGAGTTAAAACCCTGACATGAAACAGTTGGAAACAAAAAAAAAAGGTTTAGCCTGACAAAATTCTCCCAATATGCTGAATTTGTCAGATAGCCATTTCGTTTTCATTAGAAGTAATTTCAACATAATATTTCAATGGAAAAAGACTGTAAATATTATGGTAATTTGTACTTGTCCTGGCAGCGTTTAATAAAAATACGTCAACTCGAAAATGTCGTTTGCCGTTCAAGAACGACTTTATCTGTGTCGGCAAATTAATTAATTGACTGTCAAAATATTTTGACTGTTCGTTTCTTTTTTTTTTTTTTTGAAATTCTACGTATAGGCAATTGCTGTGTATCCGACAATGTCGGAAAGTTATATTGTTTTCGAATTAAAAGGAAATTAAAAGCGTTAGGGTCGGTTTGCACTGTCGCACTGAGTGTAATACCATATTATTATAGATAAACATCTAAATGGAACGCACACAATGCGAAATTCACTCTCTCTTTCTTAAGACAGCTGTATCCGCCCTCCCTCTAGACTCTCGGGTCGGCTAATTTCGTAGGGGGTGTGGAGAGGGTAAGTGGTTGTGGTACGATATTTTTACAAACAAAAGGAAATCGTGTCAACACCCGACGGTCGTATTTGCATTGCAAAACCGCCAGACCGCCCACAAGTTGTACTTGTTTCTGCCGGTGTGTACACGTACATAAAATAATACACATAGCACACCATGGCAGATTTCAAATAATAATAATAATATGACGCAATTGGTGGTGAGGTGTGCCGGCGTTACACAAGTACAACAACAATTAAATGAAAAAATAAAATCGTGCCCATGCTTTAGCAGTAAAAAAATAAAAAACAATTTCGTCTTGTGCGAGAAGAAACATATTATGAATCAAAAATATGTCTCACCCATCCACTCCTTTGAGAGAGCGTTATAATCCCTAATTATCAAGAAATACTGTAAAGGACATTTTTTCAAAATATCAATTTACGTCATTAAATATATATATAAAAGTTCGAATTATTATACCGCATATGTATGAAATCCGATCTACCTGTATATAATCTTATAGATGATTACATACCTCATCAGGTACTCTATTAAATTTCAATAAATTTTTATTAAATTATAAATGCAGGCATTGTTCACCAAGGAAATTATCTTACAATAAAACTTATGACTAAAGCAAATACAACCGATCATGTACACTATACATTCATTTTATTCAGACTATGTAGAAACAGTATCGTATATTTTTATAAATATAGCTATTAGAGGTATCAACAAAAATCGACGACACAAGATGACGAGAAATACTCTAAATTTCTTAGAGATATAAGACCTATAGTCTTCAACCTACAGAACGTTTTAGGTCTATCGCCCTGACCGCTAGACTCAATTTGTCATGTTATTGTTTTTTTTAAATTATAATACAATGTATAGTTCATAATCAGCTCCCAGTAGGAAAAAATTGAACACGTTAGTATTTTTTAGTCATTGTTTTTTTGCGTAAACAAAAAAACACATGTCGTTGTATATTATTTTTTTGCTTTGCTTTAATGAAAAAAAAACTAAATATTAAATCTTCGAAAAAAAAAATATGTTATAAAAAACACTTGTGTGTGTCCCTAAACTTCGTAAAACACGAATATACTAAACAATGGATATTGAATATAAAAATAATTTATAAAGTACAATTGCACGTGGTTAAAAGACTATAATAATTTTCATATTTATTATAACAAAAAGTTTTGCTATACAAATGTATATAAAATACATTATTTTATTATTTGTAACATTTTATGTTTTAGCTGTAAATTCCATCGATGAAAGGGTAATTATATTTTTTTAAACCAAATTAAATTATGCATATTTATAAATTATTATTATTAAAGTTTAGACATTTTTTTCTATTAGTTAATATTATACATGATTATTTAGTAATTTAAACGTTAATAATTTCAATAAGTCGATAATACTTTTAGGAAATAGAAATGATATGGGACACGATAAGAGGCGACAGTAACTTTATTAATTATGATCTCCTCAGTAGGCATTATAAAGATGAAGACTCAAGTGAACTCTTAAACGTAGTAGAAACTTACGGCTACAAAAGTAATTTTGATTAATTTTTTTAAAATTATATTTATATACCCGTTTATTTCGATTAAGTGAATTTGAGAAGATATTGTATATTATACAATGGTGTGCTTTAATTTTGTATTTTTGCGTCTGGACCCACGATAGTTTTTAAACCACTAAAGCAATTGCTTCGTGAACGAAATTTATAGATGAGAAATCGTACTTGAAAGGTATTTTATTAATAAGAAAATGTATAAAGTACACCTCTTCAAATTAAATACACCAAGATATATTTCATCCAGTTATTTATTTTACAAACATCTAATTTAATTAAACTTTATATAATAATTATGCAATGGTTTTATTACAATAATTAACTTTCTTTGTATTGTGTATGATTTATAATATCTAGAAATTCATATCGAAGCTTTATTTAAAAATGATTATACAGATTTAGTGCTAAGCATTTCTGAAGACCCGTGATCTACTAACTCCCAAATGGTCCCTCCCGACTATGATGTGGCTTTTTTGTGTTAGATGTGTGGCGGTATCTACTTAATGTTGAACACAAGATGACTTTCATTGAATTTAAGATGGCTGCGTCTGATGGATGCATACACATATGTTCTAAAACAGTAATGTTATAAAACTATTATGTTTTAGCCTTATTTCATTAGCTTTATAATTTAGAAGCGTAGGATATTACGGATTCATAAATTATAACAATATTGTTTAAAAATAATTTAAAATGAATTATAAGTATTAAAACTTATGTCTAAGCGATTAATACTGTATTAAAAGAAATAATCACAAAAAGAGGTTAGAGATGGTGTTACCCAAAAGTTACTAATAGTTATTTAGAAATGTCAATTGAAAAATCACTTAGGTGCTTAATACTCACATGGTCGATAAACCAGAGCTAGAATTCATCTTAACGTTTTGTGCTTAGTAATTAATGTGACTGTTAAAATTTGTTTCATATCACTTTTATTTAACTATTGAATAAAATGTCTAGGCGATATTAACGGTATTTAAGGAAATAATCCAAAACGACAAGGGCAGAGAATATATTATTGAAGAAGAACTAATTAAATATTATGAATCTATAATTTCTGAAACTAAACTCATACAAATTATGCAAACATACGGACAATCGCAAGGTAAATAACATGACCTTTAATATTTATATTTTGTACACATAAAATCATCTTGGGTGTACAAATCACTTTTGCTAAGATTGTAGTATTACAGTATTACAGTATTGTGTTTTTATTTTATTAGGTTTCATATCTACCCTTATCTAAACTATACCAACTTAACCTTAATCGATTCTTTATAACCCGTTGTATTTGCACCATAATAATATGGTGTTGTTAATTTTATGTACTTTGAATAGTAATTAATCAATACCTCACACGTATTGTGTATGTTTTCATGACACATTTTACACTTTGCAGCTTGGGTTTTGTTGTAAGGCAATTACATTTTTTTTGTTTATTGTTATATTATTTATAGTAATTTATACAAAATATTTATGTTATGTTCATGATTTTTAGGGATACAAAAATTAGAATTCCCAGAATTTAGAAAAGCCGTTGACTTTGGTGATCTCCCAAAACCGTTGCGTGACGAGGCTGCAATTAATGCGGTATGAATTTTTAGTGTTCACTTGTCACTGTTTTGTTAAGTTTATTTTGAATGTTTCAAACATTTTTATGCACACTTAATTTGTGGGGAAAATTTTTTGCCAAGACATTTTTTAAATATGAATTATAAATTAAATCAATTCATTATTTATTTTACTGGCGTTAATATGACCTGCTTTTGAACGTTTTATAGTTTAAACACAAGACTTGAGTATTATTATATTAAATTACTTTTTTAGGAAATAGAACAGCTATTTAACAGGATAAAGGCTGATGACGTCCAAGACTATATTACCGATACTGACATGTGTTGTTATTTCGATGAAGCCCAAAACTGTAAACTTTTGAACGTAATGGAATCTTACGGTTATGTATCTAACAGGTAACTATAATGCCAATTTTTAGCACTTGATTACTCTAAAAAATAACATCAGTAAACTCATAAGGAAAATAATCTTATTTAAAAAAAAGTTGTGAATTATGTATACCAAATCCTTAGATGCATTACTATAGTTATAACAAATATATATGTTCTTAAATTTTATTATGTATTATGCTACAAAAAAAAAATATATTTAGCTATTACAGAATGACAATTGATGGTTTTAAAAATGCTGCATCTGCAGGTTGCATACCAAGATTTAGCTTAAAGGTAATGTCACAATTATTATGTTTTTTTATGATATTACACAACATTATTTGATTGGGATAGTATTGAATTATTTATTGGTAATATTTTATAGTTAAAATTTCTATTCCTTAAAAATGATAGTCACTGTTGTAAACTAATGAATACGAATGTTTAGTTAATGAATGATGAATTTAAGAAAATAATCCCAAAAGATGAGAAGAGAGAAATTATTACCCCCGAAGAACTAAATGAATATTATAAAACAAGAGTTCCTGCATCCAAACTCAACCTGTCATATATTATAAGTAATTTTGTGGTAGATTATGGTAAATATGATTTTGAATAACTACACCGAATAATCATAAAATTACCTAAGGTGTTCACATAGTGTTATCTAAGAAATGTAGTGTTTTACAGTATTTTGTTCCTATTAAAATACCTAGATTTATTGTTATAATCTAACTTAACCTATGCAACCCAACCTAACTGATCAATAATATGTATTTTAATTGCACCATAAATATAGTGTATTTAGTTTATTTATGCCTCGTACCTGTACCATATCATCCCATGAACTATTACTATGTTTTACATGTACCATACATTTCTTTACAAAACTGTACTATAATGTACTGATAAATCACATTAAAATCTCTTTTGTGTAAAACTGCCCTTTGTTTGGTAGTAAATTTGTCATACAAGTATTTCTGTAAAATAGTTTATGTTATGTATTTTAATTTATAAATTACATTTATGCTATAATGGTCATTTTCAGATGGAGAAATCCGATTAGATTTTTATAACTTTAGTAAGGCCATGAACAGGGGCTTTCTTCCAGAACTGTTCTATGATAAAATTACGGTATATAATAACTGTTACTGTTGAAAATTGTTGTATTTTAGTTTTGTAAAAGATTGTTAAATCCTGTTTAGGCGATGTATACTGTATTTAAAAAAATAATCCCAGAAGAGAATAGAAATTATGCTGTGCTCGACGACATGATTGACTATTATGAATCAGAAATTTCTAAATTTACACTCAAACGTCTTATGGAAAAACACGGGACTCGGCATGGTAAATATGATTTTTAATAACCTCATTAAATCAATTCGTAAATTACCTTGAGTGTATCTTGATCGGTAATATGATTTTTTACAACTACGTTTAGTATAATAACCGTATTAATTATTGTTTAAAGTATAGTGAAAATACTTAAAACGGTTGAAATGGCCAAAATTTTTGGCATTTGGCCAATTAAAAAAAATATATATAATTTTACTTAATACCTAATTTTATATTAGTTTTAGTAATTTATATATTACATGTTTTTTTTTGTAATTTACAGGTGGACAACACCGTTTAAGTTTCCTTGACTTTAAAAGAGCCATAAACTTTAACGATATTCCTTTTCCGCAGTGATGGAAATTCGATTCAGACGGTTGCCGATAACTGTATCCGGTAACAGTGTATTGATACAGTCTATTTTTAAGAAAAACACTAAAACGTTAATCAAAATTACTGGTTCACTCATAAAAAAAGGTTTATTTATTCGCCGTTATAATATAAAACAAAAATTATAGTAATAGTCCCACAATATTAGACAATAACATTGAATTAAATATAAATATTATATTGAAGTAATGTGTTGTATTTTTTTTTTTTTTTGTAATACCTATTCTAGTATTTATTGTCTAGTAATTTCTAGACCCTCATACTTCTAATCAATGATAAAATTGTTGTTATATTTTCAGTTAAAACTTAATTTTATTTAATTCTAATAGTTTTTAACTTTTTTAAGTGCTTGTGTTAAAACACTTTTGGTTTTGAATACCTAAGTCTCGGCATAGAAATAATAAACAATAATAGTTGGACCTATGCTTGGATTCGTCGTTCTCTGTACATTTTACAACTCCTTGGAAAGTTGTCTCTGATGTTACTTTCAACCTAAATCGACATCAAACTTTTAGGTCCTATTGAATTAAGTTATGTCTTCGAATGCAAATGAACTCACGGCTATTATGGAAATTCAACTCGAAATTTGCATCATTGAAAATTAAAATAATAGTCTAATTAGTATGCTAAGACGTGTAAGCACGCGGCCCAAGTAAATCTTTGATTATAACACGTGCTTTTCAATATTATAGCGACTATAATATAAACTCTGTTTCATTAAGATGTATTATTAAATTACACACTATAACAGCTTACACCATACGCACATACTCCGTGCATATTATTATGGGTTACATTTAAATTTTAACGGAACTATTATAATATATTCAGGAAATAAAATGTCGGGTGTTTAACCATTGCGTGTAGTTCTTAAGAATTTCATAAGTAAAATGTCGAAATTCTGTCAGAACAATGTTAATATTCACAGACATGAAATTTTCTTGGAAAACAAGCGAAGACATGTGGAATTATTCCAATACTTCAGGGACACATAGATAAATATCTACTTGTAAGAGTTTACCAATAATTACCGTATGGATATTTGTGTCTGTATATAGACGCTTCAGCTCAACTTAACCTTGAAAATAAATGCATCAACTAAATAAATGTTATTATTTCTGTAAAATTATTTGAGGTTTGTAAATTATTAATTTTAGTTGAATGTTATTTTAAGTAGTTTATGTTTTCAGAAAATTATGTCAGTATTAAAAATGTATAGGAAATATTTTTAAGTTGATAACGGTTTTACTATTTTCAAAATGTTGAAGTTTTTTAAATGAGTCATTGTACAGATCTTAAATCAACGGTATCTGTTTGATTTAGACCAGCAATATTTTTTATGTTTAATGACAAAATTAAGCTTTCTTATCTTTATATGTAGGTTTAACGAACAGGGTTAACTATGCACAAACACTCGAGAGACGATCGCAAGCTACGTCAAAGCGTCGATTTAAACAAAGCCAACTAAGTAATCAGCTAAAAGAGATCATTTTGTGGATGCAAAATAAATTATACGGTCGACAATATAAATAGGAAAAGTTTTAAGAAACTGGTAAATAAATCGTTCATCTATGCTCTACAGCTACAAACGGTACATTCACTGTCTCACTCCAATCATTGGCATTCGGACATTCTTATAAAAGCCACGACGGTTATTAATTTAGAATGTCTATGGACGCAGAATTGCATATACTTATTACAGGCACTATTACAAAATATATTGTAATGTTTGCTAGCGTTAACGCGCAAAACGAAACTCCATTCGACATTAATCACAAAGTAAAAAGTAAATAAAGGTGAGACTAATTATTTATCATTTCAAATCGAATTCATACGGTACATAATACTGTTGGCCAATTAGATTACACTAGCACGCATTAAAAAAAAAACCCAGTAAAACTCGATTTAATGAAATGACAGTAAATTTTGACAGTGTTTTACGTTTTGTATTTACTTCGGTCGCCGCGCCGAGGGGACAATTAAAAAGCCAGAAACTTTTTTTTTGTATATACATATACATGTAACTGTCACACAGAGTTCGCAAAAACCAAGGGATAATTGCTACGGAAAACTTTTAAACCCTGGAGGAGCCGAAGGGAAATTATTAAACGTAGTTAAGAAAGGATTTATTTTTTTATTGTTTTGTAATTAACGACTTTGAACCTTCGCCGTAGACGAAAAACTTCTAAAGTAATTTTTTTTCCCACCCAAATTCGTTTTATCATCGTTCAAACAAAACTGACGGCAGAAGAGCGGGTACACACGCCGGAATCGTTTTAAATTGAAAAAAAAAAAACGCTGTTCATTAACGGGACAACAGTGTTTCAAAAACATTTTCCGAAATAAATTATTGAAGTTTGCGCGGAGACTTATAAAAACATAATTAAAAAGCCCGATAACAAACAAAACGTCACGAATCGCCGTTATTGTTATTGTTTAATACCAGACAGTTGTTCTTTTTTTTTTTTGGGGGGGGGGGGGTGAGGGGGACATTTATCAGTGGAAAACTACAGTTCACAATATTGTTGAAAACGAGTAAGGAAATGTTTTGAATAGAACAAAAGACAGAATATATTTCCAGTGTGGGAAATATGCGAAAAAAAGAAACTAGACTCGTTTGAAGACATTTATCTAACGATAAAGGCGACAAGCGTGTGCGGTTGTTTTAATTTCGACTTGTTCGTTGTACCTATTAGTATATTATTATTAATGTGATAAATGTGACTCGACGAGATCCGATTTTATCGCCTGCGGATAATGCTCAAGTATTACTATACTGCCATACTTGGAGTAAGTTTATTAGACGATCAAATGTATGCCCACATGAGTTTTGCATACTGTCGTTATTTGCTGAACGAAAAATATTGGTTCCAGTGTACAACAAACTGCAATTAAACGTGGTTCCAATTATTGTATGCGTACCTATTTAACGCGCTAAACCGAATTTAACTTTAAGCCAACAGCGATGGAAGGTTTATTTCGGGTAGGAGTACTTCACCGTTCGTTTAAATAGGTTGAATATGTATATTATGTGTATATACACAACAACGTATGCGTTTAACCCTTCAGGCTCAGGCGGCGGCGAGTACAGTTGCCAGTGTTTAGATTCAAGCGCAATGTTTTTTTTTTTTTAAATACCGTGCCCGGTCGTGTAACAAACGCCATACTATTGTTGTATTATCGTCCAAAAGGTGTACTTGCATGAATTAAATTTGAAAAAATCTAATAAAACCACACTACGCTCCGAGCGTTTAAAAAGACATTATTGTGTTGTTACTAACGACGTTAAACATACCGTGAGTTTCCACACATGACATGTTTCATTATGGCACCAGTGCTAATTGCCAAAACTCACACACAAATGCCTAGTGGAGTTCAAACGATACTATACTATGTACATAATTATAATAATAATATAACTGGGACGAGAGAATATTTTTTATTGGTGTTTGTCAAAAACCCGTAAATTGTTTGCGGGCTGCTCGGTCAACATGGCAACATAATATGTCGTTTGTAATATTATTATACATTTTAATCGGTCCACATAAACATTATATATATATTATAACATGCAACGACCGAGGGTGAACTGTGTGCGTGCCTTGTTGAAGGCAAATAGTGTTGTTTGTGTTCGGATTAATGGTGGTTGATTGGAAAATTACCGGCAAAAACACTATACCACCGTGCGTGGGCCCGTACCCTTACTGTGTTTGGTTTGCCACCCCTCTCGCCTCTCTTTGTCTCTCTCACACGACCATAAATATCGTTGTCCAGCCCGCAAAGTAACGGTTGTACAATGGCAATAATGATAATAATAAAGCGCGTCCGATGTACGGTCTGTTTTATCCATAAAACCGCCGCCGACCCGTTCCCATTGAATGTCGCTAACCGTTTGCATAGAATAAACGTATGAAAAAATCTATCACCATAGACTTACGGGGTCTGTTAAAAGGCAATTAACGCATACCAATCCCGAAAAAGTTAGACGAGATGAAGAAAGTCACCAAAAAAGTCCATTAAGTTTCATCGAGAAAGTCAAAGTATTGTGGTTAGACCTAGTAGTTTTGTGGTTAAACCAAAACATAGTTGGGTCGTATCAAGTTATTATAACAGTATTATGGCGGTTGTATCTTACCCGAGACCGTATAGAAGCTTAGACGCTAATAGATGATAGGTTAGGTTAGGTTAGGCAACACACTATATTAGTCTTTAAAGTGGGATCTAGTAATAAGTCTCTAGTGGGACGAATGTAAACAAAATATGTAAGATTCGACCTAGTTCTAACGAAATATACATAATTATTATGAAGTTGCTTAAAACGTAGACTACTTGCGCTTTAGTTGTTGTAACAAACCTGTACCTGTTTGTAGTTAAATTAATTATGTTAAAATGTCTTACCACGCATCCGTTTCTCGCGTTTGTGTTATTTTATATAACGTCAAATGAGTTCATACCTGCAAAAACAAACGAAAGATATTAAAATGTGGAACTTCCGTTTTACATAAACTTATGCAAATTTCCAGGTAAACCATACATATATAATGTATGCTCGTACAAAAAGGTATCTAGACAAAAGGATAAGACCGTGTAATTTCATTTGAATTTATTTAAGCCATTAGTTATTTTAACGGTAATTATGTAAAAAAAAAAAAACCTTAAGCGCTCGTAACACGGTGTGTTATATTATGTAATATTTTTCTTTTTTTTACACTTCCATATAGGTATTACACGCGTGGACTGAATTCTTTAAACAAGCTAATCCCCGCCGGTTTAATCAAAACACATAATTTAACTCATGAATGAAATTTCTATTGCAACGGCCACGACGGCAAATACTGTGTGAAATAAAACACAATAGTATTATATTATAATCTCCCTGTTAACGGATGCATTGAAATTTATGTTCAAGATGATTTTTCTGTTTTTCAAGTCAGCTGTACAGATAGATAAACACGGCTACAACGTCACTACGGAGATATTTTTATTTTGATAACCAATTTTGAAGTTGACCAAATATTGATGTAATAATGTTTTTATAATAATCATATTATTGGGTATTGTCGTGGTTGTACTCTTGGCCGTGAACGATATTGTGTATTAATAAAAAAAAATGTTTGGCTATCGTTTTTGGGACAACCGATG